GGCAGGTCTATGCTCCCTGCATGTGGTGTGTGGTGGCAAGGAAGACATGGCAGCTCCCCACCCTGCTGCACTCCCCCAGGCAGAGGCTCTTTATTGAAGGCAGCACTGAGATGGGACTCCAGAAAGTAATTTGTATCCAAGGTCAAAAATTTATTTGGTTTTCTTTACAGCATGGAGAGGGGCTCGGCCATGAAATGACAGGGGGTAGAGGGCAGCCCTGGCCACTACAGGGCTGGGGCCCAAGAAGGCTGTCTTCATGCCAGGGCAGGGAGAGAGGGCAGGCAGCACGTCTTTTAGGGGACAACACAGTGACAGGGCTGTCAGAAAATGGGTGTAGGGGTAGATACACCCCATGTGAGGATGCAGTCACCACCTACACCACCTTGGCTGGACACCAGCCCCAATTCCATGGGGAAAAAAGGCAAGGGCCAGCCCCAGTGTCAGCCCCTTGCCCTGGGACACAGCGGGGACAGCGTGGGAGAGGTACAGCACCTGCCTGCAAGGGTTTATCAAGGCATCACTGTGCCGCTGCCAGATCACCAGCCCTGATCAGCCCCTGTGCCACTAGCTAAGCAGACCAAGCAGCTTCTCCCCTCTGCCCCACTTCAAAAAAACCCAAATCTCTATGTACAGACTCAGTGTGCCATATCAGTACAAAAATATGCACAAACTCTACGGATCCCAGCTCAGTAGATCAAAACACAGCTATAAATCACAGTGCACAGGACAGCATCAGGCCCAGGGGGCAACATGGTCCCCCCCAGGAGCAAGGCATACCAGAGGCAGACCCTGGCATGGCTGGGGGAGCAGATCATCCTCCTGCCTCCTGGGGTCATTTCTGATCCAGCCGGCAGTACAGGTACATGGCAACTGACATGGACGCAATCTGTGGGCAGCAAGAGGCGAGTCAGGCCCCCTAAATGTCCCACCCCAGCACAGGTTTGGGTCACAGCCTGTAGCATCCATCCCTAGCACCCACAAGGAAGGAGAGCCAATTGTGCTCAGGGAAAAAGGCTCAGTAGCCACCTTGGTGCAGATGGTGGTCCGTGGGTCTGCACCAGCCCCCTGCAGCCCCTTGGCTACCCAGGCTGATGCGAGCCCCACCGCTCACCTCCACGTACAAGGAGTGGGAGGCAGCACAACGATGCTCAGGCACTCACCTCCAAGGCAGCGATGCCGGCTGCCACGCCGCCCACCACACCTGCATTAGTCTTGATGTCCTCCACGATCTGATCGAAACAACCCTGCAGGAGGCAACCATGCAGTTGAAGATGAGCAAGGGGTAGCGATCCGCTGACCACTGGGGCACGACATCTCCAAAAAGGGAGGTATGGTTCTCCAGCCGAGAGCTGCACGGCCATGGAGAAGGTCTGGGGACTTCAAGGGGCAACCCATCTCAGCCGCTTCCCAGGCCAAATCACAGTCTTGCAGGGGGAGGAGGGGCAGAGGCAGGGAAATCGCCCAGAAAGGCAGAGTGGTGCCTGGGTTCATGCTCAGCCCTAGGCATGCCACCTGCTGCAGAGCTCCCTTCAGGACCAGAGCAATGGTAGCAGCTTTGCTTGCCTCCACCAGGGACAAGTCAAGGCCAGCAAAGCATCCCACAGGATTTAAAGCCCAGGGGACAGCCATGTCCAGAGCTGAGGTATGGGACAGGTCTGCTCCCCTGTAGCGAGGCCCAGCCCAAGGCAGGCTGGACCAGGAGGAGAGCGCCGCTGGCACAGCCGTACGCTGGCCCAGCCGTACCGGGACTTTGCTCTCGGCGGCGAGCGTGGCGTTGCAGGGCTCCAAGGTCCTGCAGCAGGGACTGGGGTAGGTTCCGTGTTGTTCAACCCAGCGGGTATCGTTGAAGTCCGTGTAGTTACTCAGGCCACAGCAATGGACCTAAGAGGGAGAGAGAGGAGGGGATGGGGAAAACACCCTGCAGGTCTCCCTCCCAGGTCAGACATGGTCTAGACACCGCTGCCCCGAGGAGGGGGTTACCCAGCTCAACGCAGCTCTGGTGGGTGGGGGTGTTCAATGTCCTTCTTGGGACCAGGATTTTGCCACACACTCCAGCATATACAGCTCTCACTCCAGCCACAGAACCACTACATCACAAACGGGTAGGTCCCAGGCACTGGGGAAGCTGATGGGGTGGTGATAGCTCAGCACACCCAGGATTGCAGCGGTGTTACCATTCCCATCCCATTGGCCCACCCAGGTGGACACCACCAAGCCTGTGCTGGGAGCATCCTGACCCACAGGTGAGGGCCCCAGGGCTAAGCACACCTTTGCCATGGTGATATTCCAGATTTTTGTGAAATTATTATCCACCCCATACTTCTCCTTCAGGAGAGGGGTCAACACGGCCGACAGCAGTGTCTCTGCCTGGAAGAAGAGACAAAGAAACACCATCAGAGGAGGACCTGGGGAGGACCACAGAGCTGAGAGACCCCATACTGGGTCACAGTCCATAGGGAAGAGAACAACTAGACCCAGCATGGCCAGGAGCACGTCACACTGCATCCCTTTGGCCCAAGGACAGCTTGACCCCTTCCACACTAACCAGTGCTTCATAGCACTGAGGCTGCTTACGACCAGTGAGTCATCTGATAAGAGCCATGACTGGGAGAGCCAGGAATGACATTTGCCCTGTGGTTGACTTCTCTAGTGCCTAATGAAGCAGTCACCTTTCTCCCCAGGTGGTTTCTCAGGTGTCTAATAAGGGGTTGAGTTTGCTCAGCATGAAGCATTCGAGACTTCCTCTCTTGTGTGGCTCCTACCATCAGAACCGGAGAGGCATCAAGCCTAAGTTGGTACTGAACTATGGAGTTTGAAAGAAAGAAGCAGGCAAAACTTGTGCCCTTATTTCTTTAGGATAATGGGAATCCCTGTTCCCATCACCCTCATCCCAGCCAGGCCACCCCAGCCTGCCCATGTAGCTGGTGCCAGCAGGGACTGGCATCCCTTCCTTCTGCAGCAGTGCCCACCTCTCAGCTTCCCCATCCACGGGCAGCACTGCTAGCCTCAGCATCTCCTCTTTTCCCAAGAGTAGGACAGGTCCCAGATTAGCCCAACCCAAGACTCAGATGTGACACTCACAAGACCTGTGTAGACCAGAGCCACCACAGCAGCAGCAATTTCGGCAATGAAGATGATCAGCACCACTGAGAAGAACTAGGATACAGCAAAGGGAGGGAGGTCAAAACAACACCCAGAGACTACAAGGCCCCCAGGAACCCATCTGCTTCCCAAGGGCAGCAAGACCCTACCTCAAGGTAGGGCTACCTCAGGGCTCAAGCCTGTCTCATTGCCTTCAGCTCTACTACAAGGTAGAAGCAGCACAGCCTTGGGGTCCTCTAACCCCCCACCTGCATTGGGGCTGATCTCTCCTGACATGCTCCAAGAGAGACCTCTGTTCTGGACCACCTTCTGCTTCCTTTCACCCTTGCTCAGGGCAGACTTTGGATCCAGCACTGTCTTTCCAAGGTCCCCTTAGTCTTCCACCACACAGGCACATTCAAGGAGCACATCTCCACAGAGAAATCTGTCCCTCAGATCCCCCGCATGAGACACTCTGCTCAAATGAGGCTTCATAAAGAGATAAGTCAGGTCCATACCATCATAAGTAGACACTTGCTTTCTTTCTGGGCACCATAGCACCCAAGGAAGCCAATCACCAGCAGGATGGCACCGATGACGATGAGGAAGTAGCTCACATGCACAACCTGCATGACGCTAGATGAGAGGGTCCCAAATATATCCAGGAATGAATCTCCATCCACTGCGACCCAGATGCCAACACCCAGGAGGGTCCCGCCACCGAGCTGGGAGGAGAAAGATAATGTCAGCTCACAGGAAGGAAGAGATCTGGGATTTGGGGAAAGTCCTGGCACAGGTATTTCTCACCCTTTACAAGTTTTTGTCATACCAAAGCAAGACACTGCAGCCACTGAGGGCAGCTCATGGCCTTGACGCCACAGGCTTGGGGCAGCTAGATGGGTCGGTACCTCAAAACACATCTCACCAACAGGTCACTACCCTGAAACACACCCCACCACCATCACATCCCCAGCTGCAGTGTCACATCTGCCCCCTCCTCCAACCCAAGGGGTTTCAGTGCCAGCAGTAGAGCAGTAACCCTCGTGTACGGTGAGCGGGCCAGCCATACAATGGGCCACTCTCCTGTCCCTAGAGGGCCAACACTCCCCTCAACAAGGCTCAGGCAGTCACTACCATCATGAGTTCCTCCAGCCAGGGAGGCTGCCCAGGAGAGCAGCTGAGCAGTCCCTGGCTCCAGATGCTCACACACTCCCAGCAAGGGCAGCTTGGGGCTGCCTCCAGGGCTGACCCAGCCCTGCCATCCACCTGCTTGACCTTCCCCACCAGCCCCAAGTCCCAGCAGAAGCTTTATGGAGAGAGTGCTTCAGCAAGGCGAGCCCGGAAACTTTGTGTCTCCCCTTCCCGAGGCTATATCCCACCACATTCTCTTCCAGGTGGCTCGATTGCTCCTGCAGAGCCAGGGGAGCTCTCAGGAGCTCCATTAACCTTTGCTGTAGGTGGGAGTGGAGGCTGTGTGTGCTCTGGAGACCCTCAGCATCTGAGAACCCAAATACTGCAGGTTACTGTCACACACATGGGCTGCTCTGCTACAGAGATTAATTCCCCCAAGAGAGGAACCCAGCAGACCCTTCCTGCTCTAGGGCACCCAGCACCCTCTGCCAAAGCTTCACCACAGCGAGGGACATGGGTGGCTGATGCAACAGCCACCGTCCCCAGATCCCAGCATGGTCCCACGGGCTGTGAAATCCCCAGAGACCAGATCTCGAAGAACACCGAGGTCCTGGGAGCAGGAGTGCTGCCAACACCATGCCCCTCGACAGAAGGGACACGGAGGAGCATGTGCCCACACGGGCAGGCTTTGCCCGCCCCATTACAGCGCCGAGTGCTGCCTGGGAGCCCCAGCCCTCCGCCCCCGTTTCCCGGAGCAGCCGGGGGAGCTGCCAGGCTCGGCCCCCCCGGCAGGGACAGCAGCTGGGGTGCACTTACGAATATAGTCAGGTTGAAGAGGATCATCATGACCTTGATAAAGGTGAAGCACCCCATCTTTGCACCTGGGGAGAGCAGAGAGGCGGTCAGGGGGAGCCC